GGGGAAGTGTGTGTGTGTGTGGGGGGGGGGGGAAGTGTGTGTGTGTGTGGAAGTGTGTGGGTTATGGGCCTTTTTAGAGGGGTCTGTATCATCCCCCCCCCTACCCGTGCACTCCTTAAACCATTGTTTCAGACGAGAAACGCAAGGAGTAAGCCCCACATGCACACCCACATCAAGACCCCAAACTACTATTCTTGACCCTCTTTTTGAACGTGGAACGCGAAACTATTTGCTTAATTGAGAAATGGAGATCCGCCCATGATGACATTAAATTAGGGTTTCTCTCGATTTTGTCTTCGCTTGGTAGAATTTCACTGACCTTAAATAGGCCTCTACCAAGTTTTGTATGTTCAAATAGACCCCCCCCCCCGGCAACGCACGCACCCGCTGCTTTTCTATTCACGAGTGGAAATGCGATAGGTATTGGACTGGATTGGCCAATCTATGGTCTGTGTGCCGTACGGGGTGTGTTGTATTCAAATACAAGGTAGATCTACCGCTTGTAGGCCATAGCTCATCAGGCGGCTGCCGACATTCAGTCAGTTTGATGCGCTAAACAAACCCACAGGCGCAGACCACCGGACAGGGGGGATGAATCTGGGGTCTTATAACACCAGGCCTCAAGTCGCCACGCCCAAGTCCATGCTATGTGGCTCAGTATTATGTACTATGAAAGAACCTGATGATGTATCTGGTCTTGTTTTGGGTTGGATACGGAGAGGTTTTGGGAGGGGTTGTAGGGTGAGGGAGTTAGCTGCTGCCTCCCGGGGGGCTTGCCTGGTTTGTGCTGACATTGGAACTATGGCCCAGACTCTGGGGGGGAGGGAGTGACCCCCGTCCCGGGGGGCTTGCCTGGTTTGTGCATTTCGGACCCTCTGTTTGCTTCGGGCGTTGGTGATTTTTTTTTTTTAATTTTATTTTATTTTACAGTTGGTGATAATTTTGCCTAATAATGAGTGCATTGTGTTATATGTGCCATGGTAGGCTCAGCATTTCTTTATTTTGTGTTTTTATTTTTTCTTTATGGAAAAGGAAAAAAAAAGGGTGATCACACTAAAAAATCAACATTATAGGATGTTAAATTGTCTTATCCTATCAGCTGATCATTTCTTTTCGCTTTTTTTTTTTTAATTGAAAAAGAAACTGGTGGTGCGCCGGTTGGCACTGGCAGCAGCGTGTGTCCCATCTGTCGCTTCATCAGCCGATCGCTGCACTTCTGTCCCAATGTCTCTCTTTCTCAGTCCCACGGAGGTCTCCAGGGTGTGTCAGTTACCTTCTTTTTTGGGTCCGGGTGCCGTGTCGCTTGCCTCTCCCGCGCCTTCTCTTTCCTATCCCGAGCGTGTCCCAGGCCTTTCTCGAGCCTGTCCCAAGCCTGTCTCTGCCTGTCCCGAGCCTGTCCCGAGCCTGTGCAGAGCCCGTTCCTTGCCCTCCTCAAGCCAGTCCCAAGCACGAGGCTGTCCCTAGGCTCTCACGACCTCGTCCCGAGCCTGGCTGAGCTTGTCCTGAGCCTGCTAAACCACTTCGGTTTGCGATGGGAGGGAGTGGTAGCAAACGGAAGTGGGTTAGCAGATGACAGCAAACTGAAGCAAACGTGAAGCAAACTGAAACAAACGTGAAGCAAACTGAAGCAAACGTGAAGCAAACAGAAGCAAACGTGAAGCAAACTGAAGCAAACGGCAGTTTGGCAGAAAGGAAGGAGGAAGCAGATGGGGAGCTGAAGCAGTGAGAAGAAAGCAAATGGAAACAAACAAACAAACGGACGCAAACGGAATGGTAGCAAAACTGGCAGAAGGAATGGATGCGATGTAGCGATCCAGGGGCTCCTACACGGGCCCTTCAGGGCCCGGGTATTTTCCTTTCCCCCCCCCAGGCCGCACAGCCCCTTGGGCTGGGAGACTTGGTCGGCCACGACCACGTTTTGGGCCTTGGTTCATTTCCTTTGTCCCATTCTCTTTCCTTTTTCAGCATTTATTCGTTTGTTTTTGCTGAGTGAGTTTGGGGCTGTTTTTTTCCTTTGTCTGAACTGTAACTTTTGTTTGTTTCAGATGTGTCGTTTGGAATTTTCCTTTTGTCCAAACAAATAGGCAGATGCCTGTTCGGACCAATGGATTTCAGTTTCGGCCGTCCGTTGTAGGCCGGCTTCAGATTTGTACGTATCTGGGACTGGAGCAGGCGTTCGTCTGTTTGGCCTGGTTGAGACAATCAGTCTTTCATAGCAAACAATCGTGCAATGTATCAAACAGGCGGAGAGAGAGAGAGAGAGAGAGAGAGAGAGAGAGAGAGAGAGAGAGAGAGAGAGAGAGAGAGAGAGAGAGAGAGAGAGAGAGAGA